AGACGACACATATAAGAAAATATATTTGTTTATATTTTAATATAAATATATTCAAGTGTAATATCAATTTGTATAACATAAATATAAAAAAAATCACTAATATGCTGTTAGAGAAAGAAGATCATTAAATTGTATTGTCCACATCGTCAGACATTTATGTTTAAAACGTTTAAAATTCAGGTCATAATGAAACCAAATGTACAGTATACAGTAAATGTAACATCATTTGTCATTTTTTTCTAATAAATATCTGAATATGTTCTGAAACCTCTGAACATGTTGAAAAAATAAATCTAGATAATATGAATACATTAAAACATTTTTTATTTTAATTTATATTTAGAATATATAATTTATTTTAAAATATATATATTAAAAATGGGCCAAACAGACAACTGCACAACTGAAATGCTGAATTTTTTCCCCCAAAGTAAATAAACACAAAACTGAATGTATCAGTTTTCTATAGTCTGTTTTGACCCATGTGTTAGAAACCAGTGATTCACATAATTTAGCCTATTACTAAATTATATCTTGTATGCATGAGATTTACGGATCACAACTGGTCATGTTGAATCGCTCTCAGTGCTGAATGTCCTTGATGTTAGTACAGTAAATTCGGTAAAGATAGCCTCTGTTGTCTCCTCCTGAGAGCCCAGAGGCAAGACAGGCAATGGAGGGGGTGAACGGGGGGATCATTAATGTTTGGGAATGGCACTGGCAGGCTTTTCCACACCGTCTGCCAAGCAGAGTCCCTCTAGAGGACTGAGAGGCAGTGAGCTGTGGTTGAGCGCTAACCACCTCCCTCTGCTCCTTCAGATCAGGACAAGCAGCCTAGCAAAAACATTTAAGGATGAAGCATGCTAAAGCCGCCACATTAGCAATCCAATTTAAACACCCTTACAGTGTTGCACCAAGAGCCAAAATACGTAGAAATGCTGACTGAAAATCGGAGGAACTTGATTTATTGTGCTCATGTTTATGACAGTATTCCTTTGATAGGGATTTGCAATGTACTGTATAATGTATTTAAATGTAAGCCAGTTGCCCTTTATCTATAATTTTCTTTGAAGTCCTCAAGTAAGTGTAAACTAAATATGTAAGTGTAAAAGTCTTCACACATGCTATATTAATAAACACAATGTAGGAAGCCACTGCATATGTTAATTAGAACTGTTTGTGTGAAAATCAAAACAGATGATATCAAGAGAGTTAGAGAGACAGAGAAACAATAAATTGGGTACAATATAAAAAATGAATCTGTGCTTCTGTAGATTTAATAGAAAATGCAATATATAACTCAAACTAAGAATGTAATTCTGTTAAACATTATGTGAGTCAATCCAACATGATGCAAATAAGCAGTTTTAATAAATGTTTAATAAATCTTTTTAATAAATAAAATATAAACTTTTTCATTTTTAGCAGGAATAATAATTATTCTGTCAGATGCTTGCTTGTGGCTTTTGCTTGTTTATTGTTTCAGACAGCTTGACTTTTTTTCATCACATAATTCTAAGAAACACTGCATGAATTTACTTGGCTACCATTCTGGGAAAAAATGGTCTCCATTTAGTTTGACATAACTTCCCTTTGGGGATGTTTAGGTCTAAGGCTTAAGTTATGGTTAACTTGAATAAATAATTTGAATTATATTTCATAGACACAAGTCTATGGTATAGCTTCTACTCTGCCAGTAAATTTCTTTATTAACCCAAATCAGCATTATAATGCATTATAAAATTAACAATCATATTTAAGTTTCGTTAAAAGGCATTTAGATGCAATTATAAGAAAACTCGGTAACACTTTCTATGAAGATGTGTCATATTACACATTCATCTGATCTGATATCTGATCTTATGCCTGTTTGAGAGAAATGTTTATTATTATTATTATTATTATTATTATTATTACTGCTACTTATAAGTGGTATTTGAACGCTTTAAGTAAAGTAGCATAAGAAAAAAGGCAAGATATGAGACTTATAATACATTATATCTATATGAGAAATATAATCCATTGTAAAAGGGGGTGCCATATTTTCATTGTTATAAATCATCATACTCTTAAAAGCTATAACCACAAATAAGTAAATATTATAATATATTAAAACTGTTGTTATGAATATTCATGAGATGATACAACATATTATACGTTTTTTTTATAATGCATTATGCATTAAT